ATTAGTTCAGCACAGCAGGCGGATGAACTATGGCTACCTCGAGGCTGTTCTTTCAAAGTGAGGGGAAAAACATTTCCTGATTGTCTCTTAAAGGTATGGGGAAATTTCATGTCATTGTTATTACAAACCCTTTAGAATCCAGTTCCTGCTACTTGTTGACATAAAGATTGTTGTCATAGCAGAGGCGAAGTGTAGCATCTTTGCTAAGGTCAGTGATTCATGTAAATACGGCAGAAATGTTTTATGCAATTCGATTAAGGCTAGCTTCATCCTCTAAACTGAATGCAGTGCTCTGCTTCATCTATTGAGGGTTACTGAGTCAGAAGCAAACACAAGCACACTCATCAGGACCTCGTATCCAGATGTCAAGAGTCATATAATTGAAGTGCATGTTCAAAATCATAACGTGGAAATGCACAGTTAAGGTGTGTGAAATTGCAAATTAGCTTTGCAAAAGCAAACAATTAATTTGAGTTTAATTTGTCATTTTTAAGACGACTTCTTTGGACCGAGCATGTCTATAATAGGGCCTTACCAATAGTACCAATACATACTATAATATAATAAAATACAATATGTAGCTTATGAAAAAATTGTAGTTTGTAAGAAACCATTTGGCCATTTTTTAAATAGCTGTCAAATGAGAATAAGTTAAAGTATGGCATTTACCAGCAGTGCGATTGGCCTCAAAGCTCATTGATATGGACTGATTTCAATTGTGATTTCAAATGATTTATCTGAATGGTTTGAATTAAAAACATTGATGTAGCCAAATAACCTCGTGAAGGGTAATTAACTCACCTGTCATGAGCGAAGCCAGGCAGAGAGACAGAAACTCACCCAGTGGACTGTGTCTAAAATAGACTCTCCCCACACATACTTTAGATTGAATATAGTCATTTAATTAAATCCCAACAGGAGTTAAGGCATCAAATGAGGGAGGCATCACTTTTTCTGAATCACCAATAGCATGTTTTCATTGAAGTTAAAAGGCAATTATGTGCATCTTATAACCTTGATATTAGACTTTAGACATGTTAAATTTGTGTTTGCATACCAGACTGCAGAAATGAGAGGAAGAATTAGTCAATGGATTTGCCAAAGCATAGGAAGTTTGTTTCATTTAAAATATTTTGTGGTTCTTAGCCTAATATCTGTTTTCTTTATAGCCAACAAAGACAGCTTCTGACTGGTCAAAGTAAGTTGTAAAGAGAACCAGACATAATTTAAATAGTATAAACTATCAATCCTGCTAAGAAAGATTTGTATGCCTTTTATCTAAGCTTATACATTACCATGACTGTTTCATTTTCATGCATGTGTCCCTTTTTCACTAAGAAACTCCTCTTTCTCTTTCTCATTTTTTTCTTAGCTGTTGGGCAATTGGGCAGTGGAACGGAATAGCCTAATTTAGAGGCAGCTGACAGTGACTGTGACTGAATTTAGTGTGTGTCTGTTTGTGAAACTGCATACACACTGATACTCACTGTTCCCTTCAGAATAGTTCATCCTCTCTGAGTTGCAGGAAGGTGCCAGTTCTGAATCTACTGCTAGTGAGCTATTACTGACCTGGACACTAGAAGTGCGAAAAAAAAGAAGACATTATTAGCAGCCTATATAATCAGAGTAAAGCAGAATTGGCCCCCCTATAGGGAAGGGCAACTATTCAGTTGATGTTATATAATGACAGCCATTTTGTTACCATTAGAGGGAAAACTCTAGTTTGCTGTGGTACAAAACTGTTTAAAACTTTTTAGGATAATACAAACATTCACCGGCCACTATATTATAGGTACTCATTGCTCATTCAAATTGCTTTATTCCAATACAACAAACATTTTGTATAACACTAGAGAGGTTAATTTTGCAAAAATGACCATCTGAGTACATTATTCCGGTTATTATACTGCTACTAAATTATGATTTTATGGTTTAAATTGCTTATATTACTTTAAAGCTAAGAATAAAAGTCCATTACATCATAGACTATATACTGTACTAAGTTCCTGGACTAGCTAACATATTTCTTAAAAAATAAAATAAAAACAATCTACGGATTGATTTATCTTGTTACACAAGTATATTGTCTTGAGAGAAATAAAATCTTTCTAAAATGTTCGTGTATACTTTAAATGCACCGCTATAGTGTACCAAATGGCTACATACATTTTAATATTGTAGTACCCCTGATATAACTGCACAAATAATAAATAAAAATAGACACACAGTGGACATGAATGCAAAGGTTTATCTGTAGCATCCACTTAGATAGGCTACTTAACTTAGCATAATTAGCTAAGCATACTTAGATAACTACTTAGCATATTTAAACCTTGAAACACTGATTTATAAGTACAGTTCTGTTCGAGGATTCATTCATGAAACACGGACAGAACGAATTTCAGCAAGGTTATGTATGATTTACCCAGAAATTAGTGTATCAAAGCTAGATTCATCATTATTGCAAATACAATATTTTTTTAACCATGAACTTTGTGTCTCTAAATTGTCCGCACAAGACTCTGCTTTATAAAGTGTAACATTAATTGACGTGCACTTGAGTCTCGTGGTCGTAAGAGGAAACATATAAAAGCCTTGGTTGCTAAAGAAAAAAAACTCCCACTCTTTTTGATTAAGTTATCTCTTTGATAGTGTTAAAATCTAGTCTTTGATGAGCTTTAGTTAAATAACCCATCTTAGAAACTCCATTTAGATTAGGCGGCTGTATGAATTTAGAAGACAAATCTTATCATTAAATGAGTCAGAAGTAAAGAATGAATCTCGTCTCAAGATTCAGGTGAAAATAACATCCTTCTCGTGGTCTTAAGTGTGAAGGCCTTGGAAATGGGCGAGTAGCCTACTGCACACTACAGTCACGAATCAATAATTTCATTGAAATTGTTTTGTTTTGCAGCATTTCAACATGCCTATTCATTCAGTTAAATTGAGAATTGGATACTGCACTTTGAAATTTGTCTTCTCCCTTTTTCACTGATATTTACAGATTGAATAGAAGAATGAAATTTGTCTTCTCCCTTTTTCACTGAGACTGAATAGAAGAATTAAGTCGGAAAAAATGTAAGTGATTGTTGTCTGTGGAAATCTAACCGACGTGAGATGATTGTTACGCTCTTCCACAATTTGAGGTGTTATTCAAACCATGCGAGAGGAGTTTTCGTGCTCAGGTTTAATACTTTAACAAATCAGAAACTGACTGAGGACAGAATAGGCCTGACATCTGAGGCAAGCTATTTTTCTTTCACGTTCATTAATGTACTGTCTTGTCCAAGACAGCCTCAAGCTATGGACGTGATTTAATATTGCGAGTGAACTATGCAAAATTTTCATCAAATGCACCTTCAATGTGTGTGTTCAACTGTAACAGAAGCGAATAATCAATCCTGACTTCCTCGTCCACAAAATGATTAGATGTTTGGAGCATACAGATTTGTTTGTTTAAGACTTAGTAGGGGAAAATGCTCAAAAAATGACCAAAAGATGAACTCAAAAAGGAAAAACGGTTCATAGCCTATACAATGCGGCTATATGTCCCTGTTTAGTCAACAATGTTGCGGAAAGTCACTTTAATGTGTGACTTTAAACGGATAGTTCAGTTTGAAATTAATTTTTGATATGTTTTAGCTTACCTCAAGGGCATCCAAGATGTAGGTGTCATTGGTCTGCGTCGGAAAGCGCCGGAAGTGATCTCTCGCGCGGTTTTGCGATTTCCTGTCTAAACATTAGATTTTCCTAGACGTGAGGTCGGGTTGTTATGACATTCTGGATGAATAGGACGCAGAAGGAAGTTCAAAACTCTTACTTCAGCAATAAAAAAGAGAGAAAGAAATACAAATGTGATGTTTATCGAGTCATTTTTGCTAATTATTAGTACGCTTGAATTGATCATCGGAGGTCAGCAGCGACTAATAAAGTGGGATTAAATGCATAAAAAAGTGTATTTGTGTAATTTGTAATTTTGAGGGATACTGAATGTGCTTTTGTGCAAGAGAGATGAGTGATGGAATCCCCTCGAAAACCAGATCGTTAATCTCCAGGGGTTAATCTTAATAAATGTCTCTAATATAACCATCATGTTCACCAAGTGCACACAATGACTTTTGCACTTACTCACAATGTCTCTCAACATGAGGGTAGGAGAAGATTAAGTCAATAATTGGTAACATTATTTGAAAAAAGTAACTAAAAAAAGTAAGTGTAAAAAAATATTTTCATGATTTGTTATCACAACATTTTTTCTTTTGTCAAATCAGCTTAAATAATTTATATAGTTCAGATAAAATAATATTTTGAGTTTCTGATGATTAAATCAATCATTGTATTAACTCAATTTTTCCAGTTCAAAGAACTTAAAATTTTAAGGCCGTGAGGTTACTTATTTTTTTAAGTTAAACCAACAATATTTACAGTGTAGTAATGCATTACTTAAACTAGTTTACAGTTACTTAAACAGTAATCTGATTATAAGCAAACACTGTTAACAAAGGTGTAAGCCTATACCAATCCCAACAAGTTTAATATTTGCTTGTTTCCTCGTGTTATTAATGTCACAGGCACACGGTTCACAGCATTACAGACAATTCACCGGCTCAGTAACTTAAGCTCAGTGCTCCAATAAGACTTGTCCCTTACGGATGAGAAAGCAGTAAATGCTGTAATTACATTCAGAGTGACTGTCCGCTGCTTTCTGGACAAGCAGTTATCTGCATTAACACTTCCCAGACACCTTCAGATAAACAATTCTTTCATTTCAAGTCATGTTTTACTCAAATTAACATTACCCTTGTGAATGTTGGTGTTTAGTTATTAATTTAATGAAATCTACCATTATCCTGTTTAATTCCATTTAATCAATAATGGTGAGCCCTCGGTGTTGAGGGTGCTTAAAACAGATTTGTTTTGTCAGAAGCTTTAAAAAGAAAACTGAGATAAGCTTCACAAGAACACACTGTTCATTATGAATGTGAGGCATCAGAAACACACAGTATTCAGAGGTTTTATGGATGTTTCATAGCACTGTAACAATGGGACAGTCCTAGAAATTGGACAGTGAACTAAGTAGGAAGCCGATTAAGACACACCAAGTGCTGGTCGTATTAACAGAACAATTTATGCTAACCATCACTAAACAGAGGTATGTATATCACACATGCTGGAACACCTAACAAGCTGCTTATTTTAAACAAGTCTTTATTAAAGGATGCAGGTCTGTTGATAAAGAATTAATAAAGGTCAACTCTTGAAAACAAAAACCCCACTGAAAATACAAAATACATTATGGCATGATTAAACATTGGGTGTTGAAGAGGTCTTGAGGAACAACTCAACCAGACCTGCTTTACTTCTTGGCAAAAACAAAAATAATTAACAACCTTCTAAAAGAACAATTGAGATTTCTTGTTTAACTATGCCTGAGACCAAATTCGTTGCAATAAACGTATTTCACACACATAATGAAAAAAAATCCACTTAAAACCTAATAAATTAGCACAAGGCACTTGACACTGACAGTCTCAATATTGTGAAAGATCACAGATTCGATATAAGACAGAGGCTATATTGTGTGGGAACAGATAAACAGAAGTCATCATTTGACAATGGTGCTCAATCCGGTTCCTAAAGTAAAAGGCAACGGAGCACTCAATAAATGATATCCCAAAAACTGCATAGAAAATATATATGGTGATGTATAAAGCAATTGGTCACCTATGATCGGACTAGTTTGATCCCCTGCCCCGTGTCCAGTATGCTGGGAGGGAACCAAGAGAGTTTCAGTCGCCTGACGCAGCGCATACACACACTACACAGCCACAGGAGGTTAAGTCCGCAGCACCAGTTGGCTACAGCCACCAGTGGGTATGTGGTCTTGGGGAAGTGTGTTTTCCAGTGCTTGGCCACATCGCTCCCAGTGGGCAAGTGGAGGGTGTAGTCACTCCAGGGTTTGGACACGCCATATATTGCGGAGATGACCCGACCCCTCTCTGACCACTGCACGCCACTGTCAGGATCACAGTTATATTTTACCCACTCAGAGGTGAAGTCTCCCAGACGGGGGGCTTCTTGGGCTTCGGCATCCTGGACAGGGCTCATCTTGGCTCCCTGTACCGCAACATACATCCCTTCCACCTTCTGCACCGCCTTCACCCACGGCGCCGAATTCTCAGTGTCCAGGACCAGGATGAGGCGGGAGGAGAGGTCACTGTTCCTTTCTCTCCACATATCAAGGATCTGCTGCAGACGCAAGTGATCGCCACCTGCAGGCAAGAAAGCTTGTCAATCAGTCGCAAGAAGGTCTCAAAGGGTCATTCCACCTCTGGAAAGATTAATGGGTCATTTATGTAGAAGAAATGTGAAATTACTTCTGAATTTGGAGTTTTCTAGACTGAGAAAAGCCAGAAAATGTATTTTTGGCTTATGTGGATGAAAGACAACAACTCCCATAATGCACTTGCTTCGCTGCCCTAGGAGGCCACGCCTACCGGTAACAGAGCGCAGTTGTTGAACAACAAGTCTAGGCTACTAGTGAGTCTCCGTGATGAGTCTGCCCGAAAATGTGTTTCGAGATCGCCCAAAATGTCTGGGATTCGGCTTTTGCGTTCTACAGACGCCATTTATCATGTTTACTATGGCGAGCGGGACGAGTGAGGGCCGCGGGAGAACGGCGCGAGTATTACCGATGAGCGACGCCTGTGAGACGCACCGGTCTCGTATCTCTCACAGGAATTTTCTTAGCAATGTTAAAACGCAACATCAACCAATCACTTGTTTAGCGTTCACGTAAACACTACATTCAGATTCACCAATCAGAATGAATTCTGTTAGACTGAAACAAAAGCTGTACATGTAAACAACGAATGGCGACTGCAGAAAGCAAAAGCTGAATCCCGGACATCGACGGCCGGACATGTCCGGGAAAAAGAGGATGGTAACCCCTAAAGTTACTACTCAGCTTTCTCCACAGAACAAGAACCTGCTAGCTTAGCTTCCAAAAAAAGATGGCTGACACTATGTCTAATCCCAATCCTCCATAATGCATCCGTCTGCGTATTCAGTACCTTCGTTCTTATTTTCAAAAAGTTTCTGCCGTTGAAATCAAACGCACTGGCACTGATCTGTGAAAGGTCAGCGCATTAGGTCCAACCCCCTATGGGGGGGTTTGTAAGGGTGGGATCTAGTGCTTATAGTCTATACAGAAATCCCCCCTCTTACACTTCCTCCTATAATGACATCATTGTAGGAGGAAGTGAAAAGGGTAAATAGCGGATTTCTCTCGTCTCAGGGGAAAATGAGAGTGTTGCACGACCATTCAATAGTATGACTGGGTTTCTAACAATGGAAAACTTAATGCAAATGGGTGGAGTGTCCTGTGCAGAATAAGCTGGACCAAACCTTTTGCTATTTAAAGGTCTGCCAACTCAAAGACACAAATATCCAATGAAGTAAAATTACACCAGTTTGCATTCACTAAAGAAATTCTCATTCACAAATACATAAAGTGTTGACAGGCTGTTGCTGCAGGGGAAACGGAGAGAGACGGTGCAAGCGACACGGTAAAGGTAAAAAAAGAGAGTTTGCAATGCTGTGGGGAAGACTGTGAATAACACTCGGCAACTACCTCGTTCAGAAACCGAATGAGGATTCCTGGCTGCCTGATCAAACATTATGACAGAGGCTGTGACATCCCATATCGCTCGTGAGGATTAATACAGGACGCACACACAGGCAGGAAGATAAAGCATGGTGGAGCGATGGTGCCAAGATATACATTTACAGTTCAGAGAGCTTTCAGAGCGATAAATTGCTAAACTCTAGTTCAAATAAAAGCATTCGTTTCTTGATCTCTTTTACATAGACCTGAAACAGCAATACTGATTTCAGCATTTGAGAGAGCCTATGATATATAAATACCACTTGATTGGTGTTCATTTAGATCAATTACGCCCTATCAATCGCTATCCAGCTCTTACCTGCCAAAGTCCAGTCTCCGCTGGGAAGCGTGTGGCCGCTGTAGTATAGGACGTAAGTGTCGTGCCGCGGGCCTTCGGCGGTGCAGACCTCCAGAAAGGAGCGCAGTTTGGCCTGCAGGGTCTCCAGGCTTAGACTGGTGGAGTAATCACATCCGAAGGTCTGGATGAGGTGGTGGGAGAAGAGTCGCTGCACAGCATTCAGAGTGGCTGTGGAGTGCAATTCCTGGGCTTGCCCTGGAGGCAACAGCAATGGCTGGCCATCCGCACTGCAAAGAAAAAGAAAAAAGAAAGGATAAAGCGATGGGTGAAATGGGGAAGAGAAGCTGATGCTTCTGAATTGATAACTTGACCTTCTGTCTGAGGTACAAAAAAACACAATAGTGTTGGGCAAAAATTTATATCACGTTTTTTTTTTTTTTTTTTATATATATATATATATTTTTAATTAAGCCGGTTTTCCAGTTTATGATGTTTTTTTTTCATGCATAATCAGGTGTTCAAATCATTTAATAAAATTGTTATTTCTTAACATTCTAATAACATTCTTAAACCAGGAAATAACGTTAAAATTAGTGACAGATTACTTAATCGGTCGATTTTTGGCATTTTTAACCTAATCGGCATCGGCCAATATCCAAGTATATCAAGCCGATTATTAGGCAGGCGCATCTGTGGCCAGCCTAGTGTTGTCGTGGAACACATGTTTGACGCACGCTGCCGCTAGAGTCGTTTTCCAGCCGAGTGAGCAGCAGACCTAAATATGAATGTGTTATGTTCGGTTACGGTTATGTCCTTTTGTCTTTGTCCGTCAACAAACAAAACAAACCAAAAATACATGTTTCAGGACATTTTTTGAAAGGATAAAATGTTTTTGTTGAGAAAGTTTGTCTATGTTAAGTAATGATAATTTCTTTTACATTTTATTTTTCAAAAAGAGGATAAAAACCAAGCAAATATTGGCCAAATATCGGCCAAAATAAATCGGCAGCAGTAATCGGCCATTGGCCGACCCGGATTTCAAAAGATCGGTATCGGCATCGGCATGAAAAAAACCATATCGGTCGACCTCTAGTTAAAATACAACGTTTATATAACGGGAGAACTGAACGTTCTTATAACATTTTGAATGACTGTCTTATAAACCAAAAATAACGTTAATACAACGTCTAAAAAACTGGACATTTTGAATGTTTCTACTAGAACATTTAGAAATAACGTTTTTATAACTTAAATATGAAAACGTTCTTATAACCTGAAATTGTTATAAAATTCGCGATTGCACTGAACACGGTTTATGTGTTCATAAAACTGACGCTTTTTTATGTCATATACTGACGCTTTTGACAATGCGTATACATCCAACGCACATGGCACCCTTTAGCGTCAATATGAGACGCAGATATATATGGGCCAGATGGCGCCTCCTAGTGGTTTAACCCTAACCCTACCCCAGACATAAACCTAACCATAACCGAAGCGTGTTATATACGCTAAAGGGTGCCATGTGCGCTGGATGTATACGCATATCACTATATGACGCCCTAGGATGAGAATGCGTTGTATATTCCGCGCGCGAGCAGAGAGATGCAACATTAAAGTGTCTGTCTGAAATAGTGTCGCACGAATTAAATACATCGGTATGGCGGTATATTAAAAATTTCGGTATGAACCGATACACCGCCCAGCACTAAGCACAATGGAGAGAATATGCAAAAAGGCCTTGAAAATAAGCAGTGCGTAAGATGTAAGATGTAGAAGAGGCTTCAAAGAAAAGGAGAAAGGCCTTAGTAGGAATGACATTAATCTGCTCGAATATGCGAGCAAGTAATTCAACATCACATTGCAGGGTCAAACTAACTCCTTCTGCCTTTCTAAAAGAGACTTCCTGCTGAACAGCACTCGCTAATAACAAGTCGACAATTAAAACGATTATAACCCCCTGTAGCCTTGCTTCACAACGATTGTTATTACAAAACCAAGACCAAGCATTTGTGGTGGCAGTGTTTCCCAGTATTTCCCATAGGTAGACATCCATGCTGAAGACTGAAATGGCAAGTCTAAGGCACAGTGACCCATGAAAACTACCTAGACAGGTGCTGAGCTATTCAAGTGGAAATGACCGCTTCTCTGAGCTTGCTTGTCAGGACTCTATCCTTCTCTGTCTCTCTCAATCATGTTTGCATTTTCCTCTCCATTATTTTCTTTACAACTTTAGATCTTGTTTTTTTCTTCTCAACCCATCATTCCTAAACACAACAATTTCAGCTAAAGGCAAAAGTTTTGCTGAAATATCTTTCCACTTGAATTCAATAACAAGGCTTTTATCAGAGCAGATGAGCAAGACTTTCATTAAAAAGGACTGATTAATTGTTTGCTGTTTTTTATAAACTATTAAAATGCTTTCTGGGTGAAAACTATCTGAATATTTGGATGATGGCCAGAGCTCATTCCCTATAAATGTGAGAAGAAACGAAACCACGGCATCTGTTAACAAATGATAAAGCCAGTCGACCTGAGAATTTCTCTCTCCCTCGTCATTGTAAAAACATGATATGTACCCATCAGATGGAAGATTACACCTCGCTACATTCCCTTCGTGTGCCTGCTCCACGCATAGCCTTTTCACCAAGAGTGCTGGAATACTGAGTGTGAAGAGGCTGTGGAGCTGAATCCTAATCGACATCATAATCAGCGACCTGACTGACGGCCTGCCCCGGACGCCACCCTCACTCTCTCTCTCAGTATGCACGGCACAGGCTTCTCCCAGCGGACCCAGCAACAGACCAAGTTTATTAAAGGCTATGCCTTCATTTAATGCCAGCATGTGTTTATAGTGATCCAATCCAGAGTGGTTTCTACACCCCTTAATTTTCTGGACACTCTAATTTCAAGGTGATAAAGAGTTGGGCAGCAGACTATTTCCATTGTAATTATGAATATTAAAGGAGGTCTTCACTTTTAAAAAAACGTTTGCTGATAATTTACTCACCCCCATGTCATTCAAGATATCCACGTCATTCTTTCTTCAGTCGAAAAGAAATTAAGGTTTTTGATAAAAAACATTCCAGGATTTTTCTCCATATAATGGACTTCAATGGGAACCAAACGGTGAACCGTTTGGTTACCATTGAAGTCCATCATATGGAGAAAAATCCTGGAATGTTTTCATCAAAAACCTTTAATTTTTTTTTGTTTAAAAGTGAATTATTCCTTAAATCGTCTTTCTGATTTATCTACACATCCAAAGGTATTTTGTAATGACTTTATCGTCATTGTTGTGACATCATGACCAAAAACTCGGCCTGATTCAAATATCAAAACCTCTTCGGTATTCAGCAACTTTACCAAACCTAGGGAACAGCAATGTGAACTGTGCTGGTAAACAAAGGTTGGGTACAGATATAGATATGTATAGGCAGATTCCACATTTATCTTTAATGTTTTTACTTTTACTATAGTAACTTTTAAATATCATGTCAGCTAACTCCTTCATCATCTCGTATTGTGTTCAGCAAACGCATCTGCTGAAGTCTATTTCATCTAATTACGGTTTCAGATGCTTAGTCAACTTGCTTTCGAATGTTCACGGACCGCTCCAAAAGGGAGGGCGGCTTATATATAGCGGGCGGCCCATTGAAAGGGCCACTAATGAGGCATCTATATCTATGGGTACATATAATCAGCTTAAATGGATTGAAACAAATGGAAGAAACAATGCGTAATTAATTAATGTATGTAATTAATCCACAGGCATAAATAATAGCACTTCTCTGAATTGCTGGCAATATTGTTCCTGTATAGCGTAACATATTTCTCACTTGTATGTCACTTTGCATAAAAGATTCTGTTCAATGAATAAATGCAAATAAAAAATATGATTCCTCAGAAAACCAGTTCTTCAGGTACTAATGTCTGTTATATAAACCATCAATAAGCTGCTTTCTGGAAGGTTATGGATGCACATGTGAACAACATTGAAGTTAGAATATGCCTTTGTATGCCATATATCCATTGAATGACTTTACCTGTTGTAGTAAGTGGGAATCACCACCGCATACCCAACGCAGGTGCCTCCCAAACAGCTGCCCAGTTCATGGAAGAGTCCGTGAGCCAGAGACTCCAGTGGCAGGACCACTAAAAACACACTCATGAAGAGTCCAGAAGTGACCTGCAGAGATGAACCCAATGGTCATAAAGTGAATTCAAAGGGAAGGACAGTTGTACATGCAAAGAAACAAGTCTTCAGTGAGTATAATAGTATTTAGTTTCAGACACAGCCAATGTTCTCAGACCTGTTCATTTGAATTAAGTGTACTTCTGAGGCCTGAATGTCATCTGATGATCTGACTCACCAGCATAATGCTTTTGTTAGAAAAAATCACAATAATTAAAGAAATGAAACTGCATTTGCTTCACATGCTGATGGTTTTAAGTGACTCATTGCAGAATTCAAATCTTAACATTAAACCTCAAGTGTATTACTAAAAAGTTTAGATTAGTGCCCAAGGACTGATAGCTGGTTTATTGAGTTGCCCCCATTTAACATTTAATATGAGACTATTTTTCTAAATATCTTCTTTTGTGTTCCACAGATTTGGAACAACATGAGATTGAGTAAACAATGCCGTAATTTTTCAATTTGGGATGAAAGAATATTAATAGTATCATAATGCAGAATGATTCATCGGAGTTGGATGTTAAAGGAGTAGTTCACTTTTAAAAAAAACTTTTGCTGATAATTTATTTACCCCCATGTCATCCAAGATGTCCATGTCTTTCTTTCTTCAGTCGAAAAGAAATTAGGGTTTTTGATGAAAACATTCCAGGATTTTCTCCATTTAATGGACTTCAATGGGAACCAAACGGTTCAAGGTCCAAATGACAGTTTCAGTGCAGCTTCAAAGGGCTTTAAACGACACCAGACGATGAATAGGGGTCTTATCTAGGACCCTTCGAGTCATGACTCGGAAAAAGATTTGTTCATTTTGATGAATGAGTTCGAACAGGAAAGTCACGAACGCTGATAACAAAACAGAGCAAGGCGAGCATTTGTGCTTATAAAACTTCAACTTTTTTATTTATTTTTTAAATGACCGATCGTTTCGCTTGATAAGACCCTTATTCATCATCTGGTGTCATTTAAAGCCCTTTGAAGCAGCACTGAAACTCTCATTTGGACCCCAATGAAGTGCATTATATGGAGAAAATCCTGGAATGTTTTCATCAAAAACCTTAATTTCTTTTTGACTGAAGAAAGAATGACATGGACATCTTGCATGACATGGGGGTGAGTAAATTATCAGCAACGTTTTTTTTTTTTAAAGTGAACTACTCCTTTAATGTCAAGTATAAACAGATTTCTTGATATCTAGATAGACGAGATTGATTCTATTAATTAACATGCTTTACCTGCCATGAAACAGCCGCTAATATGACGGTGGACATCAGGCAGAAGAGCACCAGCCGTTCGGAGATGAGGCAGAAATGGCGCATGCCCCTAGAGGCCATAATCCTGTCCAAATTGAGCGTTTGTGAGCGCTGGGTCGCCCACAACTTCTGACACTCGCTCAGCTTGGTGTTGAAGCACCATAGTGTGACAAGGAACACCATGTGGGACAGGATCCACAAGAGGCCAAAGACGCAGAAGCCAGGGATGACCAGGTACCAGGCTTTCATGTTACCCAGCTTCAGGGCACAGAGCACAAAGAACGCCAGCTCAACGAATCCCAGCGGAAACAGACAAAATATCCTCCACAGGCGGCCAGCCGAGAGAAACTGCTTCCAGCGCTCTGTCGCCGACAAGCCGCTGAAGTAGACGTCTAGAAGGGGCTCGCATATCAGCCGTCCCAGGAAGCAACTGAGCACGAAGGGGTTTGTTTGGATCTCCAAGGACTGGAAGAAGGTAACGGCGGTGATAACAGCAAAGGAGGCAAGATTAGGGAGAGCCAAGGGCGACTTCATGCGAAGGTCCACAATAAGGGCCATTAAAGCAAAAGTCAGAGCAATCATGGCTAGTGATTTGTGGAAAACCAAGCTGATGCTTGCTACACCAAATCCCAGGAGCTCTAGGAGCTCAGATGAGGTCAGAACGACTGGTTTATACTTAGCACTACCGCACAGACGTTCTGTCAGGGCCCAGAGCGACCGAACTGCCACGCTAGAGAGCAACAGGTAGTTTGTAACCTGTTCCTTTATGTCTTTCTCCAGAGAGGGGAAGTTCAGGAAGCACAGGAGACCCTGCAAGAAGCCGAACCACAGGTGGAAGAGACATAAACTGGCCGACTCCATTGAAAAGTAGTAGTAGAGGATACAAGCTATGGCTGAAACGAACAAACCCAGGATGAAAATGACCAGAATCATGGATTCTGAGGTCTGCTCCCATCGTACGTACATTCCCAAACACACAGCGACCAGCAGGTTGAAGCTGGAGAGATACCCCAGGCAGCGAAGAGAGGACCACATGTCCACAGCCTTGTCTGATTCCTCTTGGCCTGACATTTTGGAGTGTGATCGCAGAGGATTAGGCCTCACTCCTTCAACACTAGGAAAGATAATGCTGAGGCATTCCACTGAAATCAATAATGGGGGGGGAAAAGAGTTATTAATGCAGTCTAAAATAATCAAACACATAATTGACACATATCAACCATGCATGTCATCTCAAAATTACATTATCATCTTAAAAAGGCATCCTGATAAATTAAGAAAAGAAGAAGATTATTCTCATTTTGAATCTGTAATCAAAAAATGTCATTGTGTATATATATCTCAAGTCCAATTTCATACAGTTATTATACTGGATACTGTGTGTAAACAAAACATACAGTTAGTTTCTATAAATCCTAAACCAGAGAAATATTCACTGGAGTAAAAAAGGTGTGAGAACTAGCCTCGTTTCATCGTACTACTTGTATACATAGGCTACACAAAAATAGTTAGAGATGAGATGTTTTGCACACATGATGGTCATTAATTTTCCTGACAACGATGTACGTATACTTAAAAGACATAAGATGACAGATCATGTTTAATGTATTACAAGTGCCAGGGTTCAAGATTAATAGATGTCAGATGTGAAACTGCCACATAATCAGCCTAGACCAGACCATACCAGACACTCTCCACTTTAACACTGTAAATACTTTGAAAGCATTGAAATACCGCGATTACATTTTTAAACAGCAATTTACGACTGGCTTTTGTAGTTCAGTTAATCACTGTTCGAAGGTAAAACATATAAGCAGAATTATTCTTACATTTCTTTAAAGCAAAGAGTTTTTAGTTTCACGATAGCCATGATGGTGCTTCCGGACTCTAAACTACGGCGGCTCAGAAGGGTCAAAGGCAAAGTGTAAAATCTGCCCACTTTTCTCCACATCCATGATCAATTTTCAGGTGCTGTCAAATACTGTTGTGTTTTTTTTTTTTTTTTTTTTTATCTTAGATACACAGTACATATGACGAAGGCTTTCTGTTTATAATAAAGACAAAAATATCCTGTGCTATGATGTGTTGCTTATTAACTTTTTCCATGTGCAAAAATAAAGCTAAACAAACCTACAGTCTATTTACTAAGAAAATATAACTTTACAAATATAAGTTATAATTACACAACACTGTGTTTGCATATGTGGGCTGAAGAAATACAGACGAGAGAAGAAAAAAAAACATAAAACAACTACGATTCACGAGCAAACGACTCTTGTTCTGAAAATATGTGATATCAATAATACACATGGTTGTTTTATAATGATTCTTAAAAATGAACAGATTCCAAGGAACTCACAAATTCCCCAGTAGCCTACCTTTACTTTTACCACGTAGGTTAGTTCATTAAACTTAAATCCCTATTAATGACCATAGAGTTAATGATGAGTTAAAAATAGCCTACTCTTTTGCAACAGCTATTTTAAGTCGATTGTGTTATTAAATCAAATTTAAGCAATATATTAGGCTACATAGGCTATTATTCCTTAAACAGCTTGAAATTAGACAATATCAACATATTTTTTTGTAGCCTAATGTTGATTTTAAAAATATTCAGCGTTTATTTGAATGTTTTTATTGCTGTTTCTTATTATTCTAACCCTGCGTAGTTATAATAATATTTTAATAAACAGTTTGGTGAATGTGCACTAAATCTACAGCTGCATTTGTTGCTCATGAAACCATTGGCAGAGTGGAGATGAACTTGTTTCCATGACTGCCAGAGTCTGCACATGTGGGATTGTTGCTTAAGCCGTGTATAAATGTGTGCGACATGCTAATAGATGTTTGAAGAAAGGATGAAACAGAGAAAAATAGCTACCTGCATGGTCTCAGAGTGCATTAAGGGGTCATACCCTTTTATAAATACATTCAATTAGTCCATATTCACCTTTTTTGAATGAAATATTGAGGTCATTCTTCATAAAATAGGCCATGTAATTCCGAAGGAACAAGATAAGTGCGACAAAGGGAATGTGGGCTTTTTTTAATTAGCACTGACATTTGAATGCATAATTGAGAGATCTGAACCGTCCAAGGTGTTTGAATGATTCCCCAGTCACTCAAACACACAAATAAGCATGCACTTATTCATCTTTGTAGCTAATGGTCTACAATATGATAAAATAACATGTTGAATTAATGCATGAGTCCATGAATGTGCTGCTTTCTGGACTTTCTGTGGGCTACATGACTCCATCCATCTCTTCCACCTCCGCAGAGAAAAATAAGAGAGAGAAAAACCTATGAATTATGCACACCTGTATACCTCCGTGCCACCTGGCAACCTGCATGTAGCATCACATTAAAAAGTGGCATATAAAATATAAATACCATTCTTCCGTTCAACATCATGACATGCAATAAGAGCAGCAAGCATTTTCAGTCAGGCTTGGACTTGATATGAATTTTGAGTGCATTTTTTCCAGACAGGACAATTGCACTAATTAATTGTGTTTCTTGAAAATGTGATCAGTTGACTTAGTGAGGAAACACATTGCCTTAAAATTCTTAAGTAAATAAATGTCGTACATAAATGACAAAAACAAAACAAAAGAAGTTATTACTTAAAAATGTTAAGATAAAGAGTTTCTTCACATTTTTTTAAGTTCAGTCAACTGATCACAGTGGTTCCCTTAATTGCTCAAAAGTATTTGTCAAACTGTCCATACATTTTTTTTTTTTACGATAAATAAATCAATTTGAAAGTTATCTCACAGACAACTCAAAAATGTAGTTTTCCTCATAAATAAAATGCTTAGTAATAAATGCCTATATATATATATATATATATATATATATTTGGTACTTTTTTATTATTTATTTTTAAAAAAACCCATAAAAATAGAATTTACACCTATAACCTTTTAAACGTATTATACACTAAAAAATGCTGGTTGTTTTAACCCAACTTTGGGTCAAATATGGACTAACCCAGCCGTTGGGTTAAATTTTTACATTACATTTTTAACCCAACATTTCGGGTTTGTCCATATTTGACCCAAAATTGGGTTAAAACAACCCAGCATTTTTTAGAGTGATATTTTTAATGGACATTCTTACATCATTGACCTAAATATGACTTTGTTTCCAGATTTCCGACTTCCGACTCCTGGAAGTTGCATAAAGATCGACAATGCATGAATCGAGACATGTTATTTCAGCCCGTTCTCACCCCAAGGCGTCATATACTTACGTTTTTGACAACGCACATGGCACCCTTTAGCGTCAGATATATATGGGCCAGAAGGCGCCTCCTAGTGGCTAACCCTACCCCAGAACTAAACCTACCCATAACCGAAGCGTTACATTGACGCTAAAGGGTTTGTTTTTTACATTATCTTCACTATATGAACACTAAAATAAAATTAACCCTGTCTCTGTTTGTTAAATGTCAATAAAAATCAATGTTTAATATTTTCAAAATGAAAACAAAAAAGATAATGGTCATTTTGTTATTAATATATGCAGTGAAGATAATCAATGTACCCGTTGCCTGAACCACATGGCCAAATATGTTTAAGATTTATTTTTATTTTTTATGAAAAGAGTCAGAGTGGTGTTTTATAACATATTTCGTTTTATTTTGACGAGAAGAGGCAGAGTTGTTGCATATTTCGTTTTATTGTTGCCTAAAATTTATATAAAGAGATAACTGTAAACGTTCTGTACCATTTGCAGAAGAACAGGACTTGCGTTCTCTCGTCCTCGGGAGTTCTCCTGATTCGTACTTGGCAAGTCCGAACTACCAAGGACACAAGTCCGAAGTTTGCGTACTTGGTATTGAGAAATGGCTTTAGTAATTCTGACATTGATCTGACATTGTAGACATTGATTGGCTTGTTCAGGTTTGTATGATTAGGGTTGGAACTAAATTCTGCAGGACAACGGCTCCCTAGGACCGAACTTGCCTACCCCTAGTTTACGTCTAAAACTAGACCATATACTAGCCACCATCATTTACGTTTCCTGGTATTGGGGTCAGATTCACCCCATCCTACTCATGTGCTGGACCACCTTTATCTGACAAGCACAGCATCAGCAGCACAAGCGATTTGTTCACAACAAATCTCATTCCCACAGAAATCAATATGATGTACTGAGTCTCATAAAGAGCCTGTTTGGAAAGGCATCCACATCACAGCCTAAATCAAAAAGCATGTAAGGCTTCAAATCAAATTGGGGAAAGAGACAGATGGGGAAAAAGACAGAGATGAGGAATAAAGAGTCAAATATTAGTGATGTATTTACATGTATCATATGGCATATAGTGGCATGTTGTACTATAGCAAAGGATGCTTGGTGCCTGTTGAAAAGCCAAAGGTACATCTCACAATGCACCCAAACTCCATCTCAAGAGAACAAAGACAGTCTTTCATCTCAATAATGTCTTGTCAGTCTCTGAGGATAAACGTTGCAGGTGAAAGTTTTGTTTTCCCCATCTTTTTAGGACTTGTGTTCATGGTATGGCGGTTTTGGCAATGCACAAAAGCGCCATATGTCTTTGATAAATGATTCAAGTGCTTCAGTTAGCGTGTCACGGTGTGTCATTTGAGACAGTGTGCCTCATTCTGGTGTGTTTGAGCATTTCATTTAGCATGAATTAATCATGTCACCCGGCAAATTTTCCCTGACAGAACCGAAAAGGAAACTCCACTTGAAGTAATGAACAAAATGCCAATTCTAGATGAGCTAAATATACACTTGGCTTGTCTTTGGCTCCTTTACATTTTGCACATCGTGTTCTCTCAACAAAAGAGGGAAAGACAATCTTGCAACGGTTGATCTTAAACATTAAGACGTTTCCTTTCGTGATGGTGATCTCAAATATCACCTTTCATGCATGGCTAAAATGGCTTTTTAATAATCTGACCTGTTCAGTGCTGCTGAGCTGCAGAAATGACGCCAGGATCCATTAATCGAGGAGACTGCGAGGAAATTGCAATTCAACATTAATTTGTTTGTTGAAGCTAAAGCTACACAATGGGACCGTGGGCTGTTGCATGAGCGTAAATACGGCCATCACGGCCAATAGAGAAAATTATTAACATACTTACATAAGTCACCATATCTATGGACAAATAAATGAAATATTGATGAGATCTTCTGGTGAGAATATAGCCATACAATAAAGTCATCTCTCAGGATGGGATGAGATGTTTATGTGAACCGACTGGTGATCTTCCGCTTGATTACGATTCAGAGATTACATGCATGCATCTCTATGTCCGAGCGATTACGTTCACCAATCAAAGATGGGAAGTAAATGAAATCGATCCCTTGGGATGAATCCTGAGAGACAGTTGTTCCTCTTGGCTCTAAATGGGAATCGTCGGATCAGTTGAGCTGAGGGAGTGTTTGGCGTGTGATGTTCCAGCCCGGGCGCTCGACTGTGCATTGGACAGATGGAGTGTAAGAGGGTGGCCGGGTCACAGATGCCCCTCGATGTCCTATCAATGACTGTGTGACAAAGGTTTCAGGGTCAACCGATCCTCTCAATCAGACTAGAGATACAGTAAAGATAAAATCCTGCATAATTTCTTCTTGAGTTGAACATTGAATATTGAGTTATTCATCGTCTGGTGTCGTTTAAAGCCCTTTGAAGCTGCACTGAAACTCAAATTTGGACCTTGAAACGTTTGGTTCCCATTGAAGTCCATTATATGGAGAAAAATGCTGGAATGTTTTGATCAAAAACCTTCATTTCTTTTCGACTGAAAAAATAAAGACATGGACATCTCGGATCACATGGGGGTGAGTAAATTATCAGCAAAAGTTGTTTGTTTTTTTAAAGTGAACTACTCCTTTAACCAGTGAGTCCTGTTTTTGTCACACCCTATTATCCATTGTGTTGAGTAGGCCAAAAAACAGGTTGAAAATCACCGA